ATCATCGTCGTCATCATCAGCATCATCATCAGCATAATCAGCATAATCATCATCATCATCATCATCGTCATCACAATCATCGTCATCGTCATCGTCATCGTCATCATCATCAGCATCAGCATCAGCATTATCATCATCATCATCATCATCATCGTCATCATCATCATCAGCATCATGATCAGCATCATCATCCTCATCATCATCATCATCATCAGCATCATCATCATCAGCATCATCATCATCATCAGCATCATCATCATCAGCAGCATCATCATCACCACCACCACCACCATCATCATCATCATCACCTCCTCCTCCTCCTCCTCCTCCTTCTCCTCCTCCCCCATCCAACTTATGGTGGTGGTGGTGGTGGAAAAGAGGCCCATCACCTCAGATCTGGGCGTGGCAATGTTGTCACACCTGGCGCTTTCGCCCGGCTTCGGGTCCTGGGACCATCACAGATCGATCTGGCTCGAAACATGCGGCAGAAACATCGGGCCTGGGGCTCCGGAGGTGAGCTTTCGCGATGCTGCATGCTCTTCGCGACGTCGGATCTCAGGGTTTTGCAGAAGACCAGGGGCGTCGCGGCTTCTTAGAAGGCAGGGGCCCTCTCAAAGGCCCTCGAGGCCTCCAGAAAGGCTTCTCAGAAGCTGGGCGGGCTTCCGACAAGCCCCGCTACTTTCTCAGAACCTCCGCCGCCTTCTTAGAGGAAGCTGGGCGGGCTTCCGACAAGCCCCGCTACTTTCTCAGAACCTCCGCCGCCTTCTTAGAGGCCCACCTGAGACGAAATCAGGACGAGGATAAAATCGGGTGAGGAAAAATCGCGAATCCCTCAGATCCGGCGGCTCTGGAAGGTGTCTCGGGCGCCGCGGCCCTCTCGGAGCGTTCCAGAACGCTCTGAGACCGTTCCGCAGCGCTCTGGAACGGATTCCTCATCGTCCTAGCCCGCCCGACTTTTTCCTCCGACCAACGGGATGGCCTCCAAGACTGCCCACGATAGCCTCCTCGGTGACCCTGGTGGGCTTTGGAACCACCCTGGCGTTATCTCAGGCCCATCGAGGAGCGAAAATCAGCGAAATCAAAACAGCTCGCCCAAGGCCCCGTCCGACCACCGAGGAGGAGGAGGAGGAGGAGGAGGAGGAGGAGGAGGAGGAGGGGGAGGAGGAGTAAGAAGAAAAGGATGAGGAGGAGGAAGAGGAGGAGGAGGAGGAGGAGGAGGCGCGACCCATCCGTGGCCGCCGCCCCGCTCGCCTCCCCCCCTTCCCCCCCCGGCCAGGGCGGACCGGCCCCGACGTCCGGGTGGACGCCAGCGTGGACTCTGCGGCTCCGCGGATCCGGCGCGCGGGCGCCGAGTGGATCCACGGGTCGGCGAGGGCACCCCCCCCACTGGCCATCGCTCGGACGTCCATTTCCTGTGTTGTTTGGTTTTATGCGTGTTTTTTTTTTTGCGAAATGATCAAGGATGCTCCTCGATGGTCCTCGCCGAAAGAAAAATTCACACGTCCGAGCGATGCCGAGCCAAACGTCGGGACAGCGGCGCCCGAGCTTTGGCGACGGACCGCGCCGACGTTGCACGGAACCGGGGCCCGCCGCCAACCCACGCGCCTGCACCAGGCCCCAGCTTGCCGTCGCTCGGACGTCCATTTCCCGTGCATTTGTCGGTTTCGTGCGTGTTTTCTGTTTTTGCTCGATGGTCCAGGATGGTCCTCGATGGTCCTCGCCAAGAGAAAATGCACACGTCCGAGCGATGCCAGGCCAGGGGCGTCAAAGTTGGCACCCTGGCGGCCGAAGGCCCCGAACAGTTGCGACGGGGGCCACGATGGGGGCAACGATGGAGGCCACGAGGCGGGGCCAGGATGGGAGGATCGGGATAGGGATCGGGATAGGGATAGGGACAGGGATCGGGGTGGGATGTAGGTTTAGGGATATAGGGATATGGGGATATAGGGATATGGGGATATAGGGATATAGGGATATAGGGATATAGGGATATAGGGATATAGGGATATAGGGATATAGGGATATAGGGATATAGGGATATAGGGATATAGGGATATAGGGATATAGGGATATAGGGATATAGGGATATAGGGGTACAGGGATGTAGGGATATAGGGATATATAGGGATGTAGGGGTTTAGGGATGTAGGGATGTAGGGATATAGGGATGTAGGGATATAGGGATACAGGGATGTAGGCATATTGATATAGGAATGTAGGGATATAGCGATCGGGATAGGGATCGGGATTCAGGATCGGGATAGGGATCAGGGTAGGGAAGTAGGATTGGGAATTGGGTCAAGCGACGGGGATACTCAGGGATAGAGGCGTAGGGATAGGGACAGATAGGGACAGGGGCGGCAATGGGAAGCCAAGGAAGGCCACAGGAGGCAACGGGAGGCAACGTCGCACTCCCGATTCCGCATCCAGCAAAGTACCTGCCTGTTTCTCCGAAAACTTGAGCAGAACCCCTTTCCAAACAAGCTGTTCAGGGGAAGCCGGCTCTGTACGAAGAGCCCATCCCTGGGAAGGGGCCCAGAACTCTGGGGAACCATGCTGTGCAACGGAAAAAAAGGGAAACACACACACACACAAAAAAAAAACAGTGCGACCCTACCTAGGAGTTGGAGCCTCTAGGAAAGCAACATTAGCAGCAGCAATAGTGGATGCTGTGCTGCGCTATGCTATGCTATGCTATGCTGTGCTGTGCTGCGCAATGCTATGCTGGGCTAGGTTAGGCTAGGCTAGGGTATGCTATGCTATGATATGCTATGCTATGCTGCGCTGTGCTATGCTAAGCAACGCTATGATATGTTATGCTATGATATGATATGATATGATATGTTGCGTTATGCTATGTTATGATATGATATGTTATGCTCTGCTGAGCTATGTTATGTTATGCCATGCTATGCTGTGCTATGCGTGGCTATGCTATGCTATGCTATGGTGTGCTAATGCTGCACTGCGCTGTGCTGCGCTGCGCTAAGCGAAGCTAAGGTAAGCTAAGCTAAGGTAAGCTAAGCTAAGCTAAACTAAGCTAAGCTAGGCTAGGCTAAGCTAAGCTAAGTTAAGCTAAGCCAAGCCAAGCTAAGCCAAGCTAAGCCAAGCTAAGCTAAGCTAAGCTGAGATAAGCTAAGCTAAGCTAAGCTAAGCTAAGCGAAGCGAAGCTAAGCTAAGCCAAGTTAGGCTAGGCAAAGCTAAGCTAAGCTAAACTAAGCTAAGTTCAGCCAAGATGAGACAAGCTAAGCTAAGCTAAGCGAAGCTAAGCTTAGCTAAACTGGGCGAACCCAGGGGGCGCAACTGGGGGAACCGCGGGGCGGATGCCGGGGGAACCGCCCGGGGCATGCCCCACTGCCCGGCCCTTTAAGCAAACAGAGTAAGAACCCTTCTAGGCAGAGCCTAGGTAAGGGGAAGGAGAAACAAAAATAAGAGAAAAAAAAAAGAGAACGGCGTCGGGATCAAAAGGGGGGCCTGGGCCTGGGAAATAAGGGGATCAAGCGCGTCAGCTCACGGGGCTGGCTTTCCTTGCGCCTCTAAACGCCAGAGGCGGCAACGCATCGAGGAAACCGCCTGCCTGGCGCCAGGGCAGGAGGGAGGGAGGGAGCAAGAAATGAAGGAGAGGGATAGATCGGAACCTGGGATCCAACGTCGCCCCCCAAAAAAACAACATCGCGAAAAATCGCGGCCAAATCTCTGGACCCCATCGTTCTGCGGCGCGTTTAGAGCGGGACCGATTTCTGATGCCCACTGGGCCCGCAGACGGGCGAAAACGCCCAGTGCAGAAAATATTGAAGCGCCAGGATCTCCGGAGAAGGAGAGGAGGAGGAGGAGGAGGAGGAGGAGGAGGAGGAGGAGGAGGAGGAGGAGGAGGGGGAGGAGGAAGAACAGGAGGAGGAGGAGGAGGGAGGAGGAGGAGGAGGGGGAGGAGGAAGAACAGGAGGAGGAGGAGGAGGAAGAGCAGCAGCAGCAGCAGAAGCAGGAGCAGGAAGAGCAGGAGGAGCAGGCGGCGCAAAGGGCCTCCCCAGTCTGCCCCCCGTGGGGCTAACGCGATGCACATGCAGCCGCCGGTTTTCCCGCCAGGACCCCGCAGCTCTCCGCGGGCCGCGGTCGGTGGGGCCGAGTCCCCGCGGGCCGGCCGCGCCCACGAACGGCTGGTCATTAAAAACAAATCATGCTTACACAACGGCCCGCATACATACATATGTACATGCATACATGCATACGCACATACACACATACATACATGCATGCATGCATACATACATACACGATTTGCACATATGATGACGAACCACCCTCATTTTCTCGAGCCCCAGATGAGCTTCGGAGAAGAATACCCCGCCCCATGTAGATCACACGCTTTGCGCTGCGGGAGGGGCCGTACAATCATTCACGCCTTCGCGCCCCCACGGCGCCTCCGTCGCGCGCCTCGCCGCATGGCCCTCACAGGGCCCTCGATCACTTCCGAACCTTTCTCTCTCCTCTCGCACTCCATTCGATCGGCTAGCAAGCTGAACCACGGCTGCACCCAGGCAGCGGCGCAAACCTCGGGCTAGAGCACTGCCACTGATAGGTGCACGGCGCCCGGCTCTGCTCGTCCACGCAATGTTTCACGTTGCCCTCGGACTCCACCGCCTTCAACGCAATCTTCGTCGGTTTCGCACTGCTGCCCCGGCCCTTGCTCTTGCCCTTGCGCGATGCCTTCGGCTCGCACTCCATCTGCGCGCTGCGCCACTAGCCGCACAGCACGCCCAGCACGAAAATGATCAACAAAATCGCGCCCATGATGTCGATCTGGCGTTCGTCGATCCAGTCGCGTAGCACGCTGACCTCCAAGCTAGTGGCAGTCCTCTCTCGGTGGAGGTCCACTCCACCAGCGCACGCACTAGCCCCCGTCGACACTGTCGCCCCCTGGGCCTGCCGCGCGGCCAGCAAGCCTTGCTTCGCCCAGCTCGCGCTCGAACTCACGGCGCAGGCCTCCAGCTCCTTGCGCTCGCCCATCTCGCTGCAGTCCACGATCCCCGCCAGCTCCCCCATGTACTCAGACCTCCCGACTGAGCGTGCCTTCGCGCCCAGGTCGGCCAAAGCCATTACTCCGCCCTTTTTTCCACAATGAGCCCGCTGCACTTCCGCCCCCGCTGAAACCACAGCGCCCCACGTCTACGCGCTTCACCTCCCCGACGCCCTCGCGGCTGATCATGGCCTTCGCCGCGCTGCCATCGATCGCCAGCTCCCACGTCACGCCGTAGCCTGGCCACCCCGGCACGCGGTCGATAAGCCCCCCGTCAATGACCGCCGACGTCGCGCCATAGAACTCCGCCTCCCCAGAGAATGAAGACTGGATTCCGCGGCGACTCGCGAACGCTGCGCACTGCGCCGCGTCCAGCTGCGCGATCCCACGCGCCATCGCCCTTCTCGCGGTCTCGCACGTTCGTTAGTCCGCGCCCGCGCGCAGCGTCAGATTGATTTAACCTGGCCTGCTCGCCGCCGGCACCGCGAGCAGCGCGCCCTCGGCATTGGTGTCCTGCAGGTACCGCGCGAGCTTCACCAAGCGCTTCCTGTCGAACCCGCAGGCTGGGACGGGTTCCTGGCCAGCAGCTGCACGTCTCTCTGGGCGTCAGCCCTGTCGGGGGAAATGTAGAGCCAGATCCCGACCCGGCTCATGAACTTTGCCGTCTAGATCCCGTCCAAGTCGGGGCCCGTCAGGCTCGGCACCGTCACAGGCTTCACCTTCTCCGCGCACATCGCGCAGGTCGGGTCCTCGATGCGCCCCGCGCTCGGCCCCGCCATCACGTCGCCGCTCGCGAACCTGAGCCCACCGCACTCTAAATGCGAATATCGCCCCCCCCAGATCACCCCCGCGGTCTTCAGGTCGAACATTTCACGCGGACACTCGACGACCTCACCCAGGTTCTCGACGGGGCCGTCGCCGCGGAGGACATCCACCCGAAAGTCGTTCAGGACATCCTGCCCCTCGTTGTAATAAAACTGGAGCTGGCACTCGCAGCGCTGGAAGCCCCATCGCCCCCCAGTGCCCCCGACGCCTTGTCAACCCAGCCAGCGCCTACCACGCGATGCCCAAGGGGCATCTTGCGCAGTTCCCAGACGACGTCCGTCGGCCTGCCCAGCCCCGCTAAGATCGCCAGGCATTCCGCGCGCGCCCCACGCACACATTCTCGGCATGGTCGGCTTGATAATAGGGCCTTCAAGCCATGTGCGATGAACGCCGCGCGGTTCTCCTCCTCGGCGCTGATGAATCCACCAGCCTAATTCTTCTGCGCTGACGAGGATGCTGCGAACGCGCCCCCGCTGCTCCATCCACTTGAACTCCCGGGCCACGTTCCTCCACTTGCACTGGCCGCCCCGCCCAGCGGCTCCCAACGCGCCTCGATCATCCGCGGGCGCCCACTCTTGCTGCCGGGGGCGTCCGCGCGCGCCGCAGCGCGCCAACACCTCGAGCGCCTCGCGCCCCCTCTTGAACTCGACTGCAAGCTCGAGCCCACTCGTCGCGACGTAGGCCCCCGCGCCCATCGCGCCCAGGATGCTGCAGTCGATCGGGTCGTCGAGCGCGATCGCATACACGCATCTCGCCCTCTGCCGAGGTGATGTGTAGTCCGTCTCCTCCGCTGCCCTTGTCTGAACCCTCGCCGATGCTGGTGGCTCCACCTCCGTCGCGTGCTCGGGCTGCTGCGGCTCTGCCACTGCCGCCGGCGGCAATGGCGCGGCCGGTGCTGATGGCGCTGCTCCGACGCATCCTGCTGATTGCGTCCCCTGGATGGGCTCCCCGGGTGACAGCCCTGCTGCCGGGGCCGCCGCTGCCCCGGCCCCCGCCATAGCCCCCCGCGCCGCCACGGTCAGCGCGACGGCGAGCACAGGTCGTTGCAGTCGAAGCCGTAGCTCATACGCTTTCGTACTCCTCGGATCCCAGGGGACCGAGATCACGGCCTTCAGCAGTTTCGCACAATTCCTCAGCGCTGGCCCCAGCATCCCGCACGTCCCCGCACGATGCCAGCCTGCAGGGGCCAGGAACACGCGGTCGTCGCTCTCCTTGTGCCCCCCAGCCCAGATGCCCTCCACGAAGCTCGATTCGCCCTTGCGCATCAGCGACGTCGCCGCGATCTGCCAGGCGCGCGCCAGCGGCAACTTGAAGAGCGCCGGCCCCCCGAAACAGGAGAATCCCACCGTTGTGGGCCACCCCGCGAGCAGCTCGGCGCGAAGCGCGCCCGTCTGCCCTTGGCCCGTGAGCCGACGTAGCCCAGCTCGCGCAGCGCGCATCACCCAGCACCAGATCGGCGCGCCAGCCGAAATCTTGACGCCGCAGCGCTTCTCCAAGTCGAACTGCAGGTCCACGCCTTCGCCTGGAACCCGCGGATCGGCGCCTCGATGGCCCCCGCGACCTGGCTGCCCCGCAGGCTTCCATGGTTCTGCTCTGGTTCGATGTCCTTGTTCATCTTCTTGCGCACCTCGTCCGCTAAGTTCGGGATCACCGGCTCGCCATCCGCCCCCGGGCCCGACGCCGCCAGGTGCATGTTCTCGATGAAGCCGCACGCACAGAGCACCGCGTAGTCCGTCGCGGCCTCGGTCGGCATCGAGATCGCGACGGACATCAGCGCGCCCCGCTCGGCCATCGCCAGAATCGTCGCGAAGATGTCGGCTGCCAGCGGCTCCTCGTCGCCAACCTCCGCCCAGTCGCCGCTCATCTTCAGGCGGCGGAAGTCCAGCGTGATTTGCGCCCTGCCAGCGTCCGCCCGGTCGAAGGCGAGCGCCTTGCGGGGCTTCGCGGCTTCGTTGCCCCTCACGCAGGGCCTCGCGCCCGTCGGCCCTCGTAAAGCGCAACAGTTCATGAACCGCTTGTTATGCTGGCGTCGGGTCTGCTGGCACAGCGACCTGTCGAGGCGCGATTACAAGCGCCCCATGCACAGACCCCTCGCGCCCCCGCCCCAGCTCCTTCAGCCAGCCCCCACTGGCGCGCCGCCACCCTCAGCCCCGCGTCGCTCAGCCCCACCGAGAGCTCGCCTTCCCTGCCACAGAACGGCGCCCCGAGCCGCATGGCGCTCGCGTCGCGGGCGTCAGGGTGCGGGACGATCTCCTGCCCGTTGCGCCCCGTCTCGGTCTGCCACGCCAAGCGTTCTGGTCCTCCGGCCCCTGCCGCCGCCGGAGACCCCGCTGCCGCCGCTGCCGGCGGTGCTGGACCAGGCGGGCCCGCCGCGCTACCTGCCCCGCTGCCGGCCGCTCCGGGCGAGGGCCTAGAGCCCTCGCCCTCCTCCTGCTCGTTCGCGTTCACGCTGGCCGCGAACTCTATCGCCTCCGTCGTCGACTTGAAAGTCTTCGCGTCGAAGCCCAACGCACCGTTCCTTCTCACGAGCGGAATGCCCTTCGAGAGGTCGCTCTCTGCTGGGCGCGCGTCCACGCCCGTCTCGGCACTAAGCCAGAACTCCGCGCCATTGCACATCTCCTCGAGCAGCGAGGGGATGGGCTTCGAGACCGCGCCCCCGAGCCTGAATTTGGCCTATAATAGTCCAGCCTCCTTGCTGTCGTCGTCGTCCGCCATCGGCGCCGTCCTGACGGTCTCCATCCTGACATGGTTCCACCGCGCGCCGAAGAGCTCCGGCCCGTCGCCTGCCTTCTGCACGCAGCCCTCGCAGAACGAGGCAGGCCCGACGCGGTAGTCGCTCGCCGCGCCCAGGGCGGTGAACGCGGCGCCGTCGCCCCCCAGCGCGCAGCAGTCCTGCTTTCGGCTCTCGGCCCGCAGAGCCATGAAGTAGAGCCGGTCGTCGTCGCAGAGCTCGCACTCTCACTCAGCGAACTCGATCTTCGCAACCGCCTTCGGCTCCGAGCCCTCCTGCTCGATCGCCGCGCTGCCCTTGGTTTTCTCGTCGGCCATCCGCGTCCTGCAGCCTGCCTTCTTGTGACCCGCATTGCGGCAGTAATCGCACTTTCCCTTGAAGGTTCTGGCCGCGTCCATTTGCCAGCATGCTTTCCGCTGCCCTTGCCAGCTCCAGCTCCCTGGGTCTAGCCACCTTTACCTCTGCCCTTCTTGCGCCAATAGCAGTTCTTGGTCGCGCCGTTCGCTTTGCTGCAGATCTGGCAAACGTCCTTCGTCTTGTCTTTTCCCTTCTAGAAATCGCGTAGACGTCCATGTCATCGCTGCCCCTGCCAGCCGTCGGAGGTCTCGAGATCAGTCCACTCTGGCCGACCACAGCCTCGAATATGCACGCCCCCATCTGCACGATGTCGATCCGCACATGTCTCTGGGCGGACCTCAGCATTGAGAATGCGCAATGATCGTGCTGGTCGTCCTGTTTTGCGCCACCGCCTCGCCAGTCGCTCGATCGCACCAAAAGATCAGCTCGTCCCAAGCTATCAGCACCTCTGTGAAGCGCTCCCTGCCCTCTCGCTCCTTCCACCAGAGCGGTGTGAGGATCTATTGCAGCATCTGGCCGTGCTCCTCTTTCAGCCGCGGACGATACTCGTAGTACACCCTCCGCATGGCCTCACACCCGTGGCCCCCCGCGCACAACTTCACGATGCTCTGCGCCGTGCCCATCCCCGTGCTGGCCAACAAGTGGTACAGCGAGCGCTCGGCTATCACTCCGGCCTCACAGAGGTCCTCGAGCGTCATCTCCTCTTCTGTGTCCCTGGCCTTCGCCAAGCCCTGCGTCCAGCCGAGCAGACCGCAGTACGATTCGAACGGGAAGACTCAGTCTGCGAAGTCCTCGCGCTTGCCGCTGAAGGTCGGCACCTCTTCCGACGCCACGCGAGACAAGCAGCCGTGGGCCGCCGAGCCCATCTGCCGCCGTCTGGCCGCTCCGCGCGGCCCTGCCGTCTCAGGGCAGGTTCGATAGCCCCAACGCGGTCACCATGAAGAGATGATGACGAGCAGCCGTCATTGTCTCGAGCCCCAGATGAGTTTCGCAAAGGAATACCCGTCTCCACAACACATACATACATACATACATACATACATACATACATACATACATACATACATACATACAGACAGACAGACAGACAGACAGACAGACAGACAGACAGACAGACAGACAGACAGACAGACAGACAGACATACAGACATACATATATTATATATAGTACATACATACGTGCATACATACATACGTACATACATACATACAGACATACATACATACAGACATACAGACATACAGACCTACTAACATACAAACATATAAGCCTACAATACTAAGATGCACATCTATACATATATATATACATACAGACATAGATACAGGCAGGTATGCATGCATGAATGCAGACATACCTACATATATACCCACACGCATACATGCATGCATACATGAATACATGCATGCATGCATGCATACATTTGTACACGCATAAACACATACGTACATACATATATACATCAATAGATGCATGCACACA